AATTTCTTCAAAGTCACCTCCATTCTAAGAAGCGATGCGTATAGTAGCGAAATTTTGGGACTCACTTAGTCCGGGTGCGCAGCAGATCGTTGAATTAATGTGAAAGTGAAAATATGCGTATAGATACAGACTCTTGCAAAAAGTTAAAAAAATTTTTTTTTAAAAAGTTATTGCTGTTTAAATTAAGTAGCTTCTGCTTTTGAACGGAACGTTTCGTATTTTTAAAATAGTTTTTGCATGTTATGTCGGTAGAGACAACCAAGGAGTGGAAAATGTTTCCTTATGATTTTCAGAAGCGCAGGAAAAAAAAACAAAAAAGTATAAATAGAGGTCCAAAACGTAAAGTATTATGTCAAAAACTTTTTTTGCTTCATTCTACCTTTCATAACCTGTGCTCCATTTTCAAGTGTTCACGACTCAAAATAAACCTATTACGACTGTCCATAAGTTTGAAATAGTATATCAAAGAAAAGGCTCGTGCGGAATAAAAATGACTAAAGGTTTTGTAAAAATTTTCATTTGCGCCACCGCTAAAGCTATGATTTACTTAAGATCTGTAAGACATTTGGCTTGGGGAGGGAGGAGAAGGGGGTAGGAGTTCTGAATGGAATTTCACAGCAAGAGAACATAGGGCAGGAGAGTGCGCTGGCTGTTAAGATCGAGCCTTACAAAGCCTGCTATAAAGAAGAAGAGCAAACTAAAAATAAGTCATAAACCCATCATATATATTTATATAAAATGGTTTAATAACAGTTATACAAATATGACCCATTCAAATTCGGCTTAATAGAACAGAATTTTTTAACTATTTCAGGCTAATAGAGTTTATTAAAATATACGGAAGTCTGAAAAGAGAACTTAAAAACATGAATTATTCGCCAATTTAGGCCTCGTCAAAGTTATGAAATTTGCCAGACTGCTGCTTAATATACCTAACTTTGCGGACTATTAATTTAGCTTGATCAAAATAGAACTTGAAGTTTCTAATATATCACATTTGCCACGTCGTGCACTTTTAAAAGCCTACTAAACCGTTTAGTACTGTCAAAAAATTTTATAGAAACATTTCAAGCAAAAAAATATAGAAAAAAAGCTTGACATATATCACATTAAATTTTTTTGCTCTGCAAAATTCAGAAAGAGATGTGAAACTGAAAAAAATCCACTGTCTTCACATTAATCCTCTGCTTTTATACTGGCGAAATCTTGAAAGCCACTCAGAGCAGCTATGAAAACCCGGTACGTGCGAATTGTTGAAGATTTGCTACAAAAGTTGCGTTTTACTTTAAAATATTAAAAATTTATTGTCCTAAACAGTTATAGAAAATTGTCTTTATTTCAGCACCTTCCTCTTCTTGCCCTCTCCTGGACAAAATGGCGCATCGAGTACTTTTGGAGCCGCCAAAAAGTCTAAGAATTTTGTGCTTCAACCAATTAGCTGCTAAGTGAAGGTTTTTTCCCAAAGACTTTATGTTTAACCAGTCTGGAGAACTATGGCAAATACTTTGAAAGAAAGAACTGTAAGTCAAGATCGTGTTCGCCCATGCAACCAAAACTTTAACGAGTGCACTATGCACACAAACCTATGGGTTCAGATATCACTCCCTTTTTTGAACCTTAAATACCAAAACAAAACCGAAATAAACAACGAAAAATATATCTTTTTTTGCGATAGTTTCTGTTTTTTCTAGGAGCGTGCGAATGTCTTTGGTATCATTTGCATTATGCGGTGGAATACCACAACACTCTTTCTAAACCTTCTACAAAAACACAAGCCAAATCAAAAAAAAAGTGGTGACGCCTGAAAGATTAAATGTGTTAAGCAATCTCTTTAAAGTTTTCTAATGAGTACACACTAGTCCCAAAATAAACACCCCCAACAGGTAAAGTCTTTCGAAGATACAAAAAACCCAAAGAAGCGCCATGGAATGATATGTAACTCAAAAAAACGAGCGCAACGAACGTAACGTAATTAACACTACTGAGCAGTT